AATCATTTAATGCAGCTTGAAAAAATGGCGGGTAAATTTTCTGTGGTACACTCTATAGAAACTGAGGCTTAATATTGCTATGCGTCATGGGGCTATTTAATAATCGACGACGACACTACTTCCCAGAAAATAAACGCATAATAAAGCCTGTGTCTCACACATACACTGTCACAGACGTATACATAGAGGCAGAATTCAATTGTCCAAAATTAAAGTTTTTTATCTCATGAAAAATTTGACGATTTTGGCAGTCAATGTGTTAATTTGTAGAACGTGCTTCCATGAGTCACATGGAAAATTTAAAAATGGTCGTATCTCTGTTGAAGATGATCCAAAAACAGAAAAACCACCAAATTCTACTAAAGAAAGAAAAAATTGAATTTTTTGGAAAAAAACTAAGAAAAAAAACAAAGATAACAATAATATCATAAGATACCTGAAAAGAACATCGTCAAATGTTAAGGTTCTTCAAGTTTAAACAATAATTTTGTTACGCTGAATCATACTAAATCTCATAGTTAAATAATAGTAAAAAGGATCTAAACGTGTAAAGTTGGAACGTTTGTGTTTGATGAATCTAAACATTATTACACACTTGTTAACGCAATTCGCTTCATTTATTTCTCAAATATGACAAGCATTACATATCATACGAATGTAATCGTTAATCTATTAATCACCAGGGAAATTAATTAACAATCATAAATTGTATTCGTAATCGTAAAATGAAGGATTGACATCAGTCTTTGCTAAATAGAAGTAGAAATATCTACAGAGAATGGTAATGGCGAGGCTCAGATCGCCGATGGAATGTTCTTTGGCAATAATTCCGCTGTTCTTGCGATAACTTAATATCGTAAGAGATGATTGATCGGCCAAGTTCGAGAAAAATTCTTCAATATGTTTTTTTCTACATTCGTAATGATATTTTTGCAAGAATTTTTCCATATTATCCTTCGAAGTTGCATCGATTAAGTTTCTCGGAAGCCGAACTGCAATCATCGGAGATTGCAAGTCTGATAACAAAAAAACACGCAAACAGAAGAAGACGTTACATTCATAGACAAGAAATTCTCATAGATACAATGCTCAAATATTCATAAAAAGTAGAATCTGGAAAATGGTCTTGCATGTTAAAAACATCATCGTATAAAAAGATTTATTAATCATAATTGGTAACTTGGAAATGGAAAACTAAAATCGAACTAAAAGGCTAAACACGATTATTTTTATGTAATAAACTTTTTTCCCGTATGTATAGGACCCTAAGACGTCAAAGAATAATTCGCAAAGCGGAAAGATATTAATAAGTGGTATGACTCGACAACGTCTGTCCGTTTTCGGCGATGGCGGAAAAGGTAGTCGTGGAAGGACAGCTTGTTGCACCTTTTGGGATTCCCAGGGATATTTAGTCGATAAATTAGGTCGTGGAAGTGTCCAGCGAGGATATTCCTCGCATAAAAAGAGAAAAAGCGCGACATAATTCGCGAATGGCCCGTAACAATAAGCGTCTACGATCTCCGTAACACGAGACCACACTGTACACATGCGCGAGCACTTCGCTCAAGCCCTCCATCTATCGCGTTCGATTGGCTGCGCGCGCAGTATGGGCTAAATACCTTGGCGGCTGGCCGTGTTTCCTTTACGCCCAATCGTAATCGGCGCCCGTCGAGTTTAACGCTTTTCCGTACACGTGCACGCTCGCTGAAAGGTGTTACGAAGCCGATACCCGGCGCTGCGGTGCAATTACGCGCGTGTGCGGTTCTGTTGTAAAGGCGATGCGTTGTTGCGGCCACGTAGGAAGGTGATGCAAAGTTTCAACGTACGTCCAACGAGGGGCAGGAGGGGCGACCGCGTGGCACTATAATAGACATTTCGGGAGCTCGACACCGTCTTATCGCACTTTAGAACCGGTGTATTTTTGGCCCACGCAGTCAGGATTCTTCCCACGGTCGTGAAACCCGCAGATCATTTCTCGATCATCGTTTCAACCGTCGAACGTTGCGTTGCTCGAGTTATCAATCTTAGTATCATCGATGATATTTCTCACTCTCGTCTCCTTATTAATTTTACTTTCTTACGAATTAGTTATTTTAAGTTTTATTAGGTTGGTGATAACTAATAATTATATCGATTAAAATAAATAATAATTAGTTGAATCGAGAGGCAAATTGATATGTTGTGACTTCGTCACCCAAATACCTCAATTTTCTTCAATTTTTACTCGCAGTGTTTAAAGATGAAAGATCCAGTTTTTTGGAAAAATTTAAAACTGAAAAGTGTACCGACTTGACCCAGTCTCCCAAATCTATTCCATTTTCTTCGCGAGCACCGCGGGATCTGTTGCGTCACCTGCGCAGCCACATGCGCGTAGGCGTGAAAAGTGTTGCTCGTTTGATGTATATTTAAACGTTGCATCGACCGGTGTTCCTGAATCGAGACATCGTCTGGTGGGGACTGCGAAACACGGCAACGCGAACCTCGCTCCGAGGTCGACATTCTCTCATGACTGTCGTTTCGCTCGTTCGTCGAGCAGTGTCCTCGAAAATCAACGATTCGAGCATTCATTGTCAGTATTGCCAGACGACACCCCGGCAGTATCGGTGTGCTGACTTTGAAACGTGTCATTGGTCGGTTCTGAACACGTGTACCTTCCGACGTAAACTATCGTTTTCCTAACCTCTCCGACCTCGAAATTACACGCGAGTTTCGATCGCGTTTCGTTGCTCGACAATCGTCTTTTCGAAACAATTCTGAACAAATCGCAAAGAAAAAGTAGTCGTATTAGTTTAGTTACAGGAAACAATAATAAATAGATTTTCATTCGACAAACAAGAGTGGGCTCTTGACTACAAAAGAATGCAATTAACTCTTTCGTATACCCTAACCACTGCATCATTTCCATATAAACGAAATAATTTTCTCAAAGAAATTTACCCACCTACTTAACACTAAAACTACCGACAATTATAGTGTATTTATTTATACCAAAGAAATTAAAACACTGGATACATAAAGAAATGTATGATGCATTAAAAATAAGTGTTTATTCATTTTCTTATAGAAAATTGCAGTAAATTTTCAAAAATTCAGTCAAGTAAATTGTTTACAAATTAGAAATTATGACTGAGTCATTTTGACTGCTTTGGTAGTTCTAGTGTTAACACTAGGTTTACGGACACTCGTTGCGCATATTTTTATTGCAATTCGCTGTGTTAACAGTTATATTAAAATGCAATTTTTCTTTTAATCAGAGTGTATATTCATATCATTACATCAATTTAATCCAACATAAATTGCTAAGAAATAATATTTATGAGTTCTGTAACGTTAGGTTTAGAATCTTAATGCGTCAAATTGACGTATTCCGTAAACCTAGTGTTAATAACAGGATCAAATCACCGAAGCTAATTAACATTCGCATTGCTAATATATTGGAACGGTTGCACATACCGCTCCCTAATATCTTCCAAATTAAAGTGATTAACACTCCACCCTGAACATTGAAAATACCAACATTGACCTCAACATTCCATCGAAGAAATTTGAAAGCCAAGATCTCTTGAAAGCATCCTTCCTGGAAAGTTACAGCCATTTTTCAGACTATTCACCTATAATATACTGTGAGGGATCTAAAACAAAATTGGATGCTGGCTCTAGTGACTCCCAAAAGAAATATTGGCTTTTAAATTGCCAGAATATGTTTCAGTTCTCTCATGCGAGGCATATGCTATATTGGAGGGACTGAAGTACATCAGAAAAGCTAATAACAATGACAAATTCATTATCTACTGAGACTCTATGAGTGCACTCACTGCCCTTCATGTTACTGAACCCAGAAACCCTATTATTAGACAAATTATTGAGAAGTGCAACGAAATTCTGTCAAACAAAGAAGTTACTGAAATTTTGTTCGGGTGGGTTCCATCAAAGTCGCAAAAGAGGCCTCCAATTCACTCCGTCATCCCTTCGATACACCTATCTATCACAAAGAAGTCTCCAAATCATTTTTCAAGATTCTCAAAGAACACTGGAACCTGTTCTGGGGAAAATGGCCATAACTCACACATTCATCGTACCAGGAATAATATCTATGAGATTAGTCCTGCATTATCGTTCGACAGAAGACACAAAATTGTTTTAACAACACTAATACACGCCCACCAATTGGAGAAGAAAAACCCACAAATGTGAAACACCTGCCAGACTGTTAATTCGATTGAACATATCGCTACCTCTTGCCCGCAATACCAATAGAAGAAAACATTCTACCAAACTGATGGAAACTCCAAAAAAGTAACCACGACTGCAGATTCATGCTCAAGGGTGCTAAAATTTCTTAACCATATAAACATATTTCATTTAATTTAACTTAATCTGTGTCCAGCGTACCTTATATTTCTATGTTAAAATAATAAAAGCGTACTGCTGTATCTAACGTTAGTAAGGTATTGTGGTTGCTAATTACCCTAATGGGTTGACGCAACAGTAAAAATTGAATTAAAAAGAAAAAATGAGTGGATTGTACTTCTATTTAATGTTCTAAATTTAGAGAGGATTCTCAGCACGGATTAAAACGTTTAAGTAAGAAGTATTACTGGATGTTAACCTATAAAACGTTCGTGATACGAAGATTGAACAGAATATCGATCAAAGCACGTTGTTTAATAGAATTAAGTATGTTTAATATTCATTGTTACTTCGGTGAAAAGAGTTTATGAGAAAATTATAATCAATTTAGTCGATTGATCGAAACCGTTCAAGTGGCTGGTATTTTCCCGCGTAGTAATCGATAGCACCGACATCGGGAATTAGCGATCGATCGAACGGAGTCATTCCTCCCCGGGCAAGCACGTGATCGTTATCATTAAACATTTTTTTTTTCGAAACGACAGTCTGGCGCAATCGCGACGATCATTATCGATATAACCGGAGGTGTGCGCGCTCGCATACCCGATTAAACGATACTTATTGTTACCAATGAATCAGTAGGCGCATACCGATGCAATATTTACCGATGTCCGGAGTGCAACGCGCCATGTTTGCCAGGGAACGTCACAGCCACTGCGTGCCAATCGTTACCGTGTCACTGGAACAATCGGAATTTACGTAAGAATATTTCAGCGTGAAATCATACGACTCCGTTACTATGGAAAGTTTACGCGATAACGATAAATACCCCGGCAAAGGTAAATGTACTAACCTACTAGAACAAATAATTTCTTCATAACCTAACCACCGATGCAAATACTAATTATTATTAAGCATACATACAAAGTAAGAGACTATTTATATTATTTAATCGTACAGTTCTACATACATTAAAATTACAGTTTCAAAAAATTGGCTGCATCGTTGCAATTATTAACGAGAGTGCTCACATGTTAAGATAATTATTATAATTATGAAATTTTTAGTACAATTTATAAACTTAGAAAGTGTTGTGTCAATCAAATTTTATATAAAAATTTAAATGGCTAGGTACACCGATATTCTAGTCCATTTAGTGGCTAATTAATCGTCCAGTTATCAGAAAATTTTCCTTTCTTTGCTCTTTTATCTTGGAAGGCTAATGACACCAGCATCTCGGGTTGATACAAAAAGGTGAATGGCGGAGTGAGAGTCGCCTTTCGAGTTACCGCAAAACACCGACTGGCGAGTGAGAGTCGTCTTTCGAGGGCAAAGGATTAATAACATCCTATCGCTGAATTTGACACAGGCAAATTTCTTCTTCAGATACGAATTATAGAAACAGTTTCGTTAGAAAATCAGATACATAACCTTACTTACGATCACTTACAAGGAACCATCGCGAACGGTCCGGCTTCGATTTTGATGAAACTTTGTACACTTATAAAGCAGCCAAAAATAATCGACACGTATTTTTTTTTAGCTGCGGTAACTCGAGTTTAAGGGGTGAAACCACCCCTTGAAGTTTTGGCTCGAAACGGCTATCTCGAAAACGGAAAGACGTACAAAAAAATTGTTAATGGGCGAGGTTGATGGTTTCTTATGTACAATAACATGGTGTTAAAAAATTTAAAAAAATACAATTTGTTTGTAACAAAAAAAAATTTATTAACTTAATTTTTCATTTTATTGAAATTTTCATAATGACAAAAAATGACGAGCATTTTATTCCAAATCCATTGGTATGCGATTTTTTAAAATTTGCCTCCTACAGTTTTGCAGATTTTGATGATTTACATCTTGCGCGCACATCCATTATGGTAGTAGCCGTTCTATCTTTGATTTTAATGAAGCACTGTAGGCTTGCACTACTTCTAGAGGACAAAATCGGGAAAAATACAAGAATACCAATTTGTTGATTGAGGCTTCGTTAAAAAGTTATTAAAAAATTAAATTAAAAAATTTCAAATCCTCCAGGAAAAAATTATTTTCGGTTGCGAGGGCCAATTACAATCATTTTTGGTCAATACATATACCCACGAAATCCTACGCACTTTCGAGAAAAAAATTCCTAATCGAAAATGTAATTTATGGCCAGAAATGTTGTCCGAAAATTTCATGCGGATCTTTAAAATGTCATAACTTCTGAACGGATTGAAGGATTGTAATTTTCAAAAATGCAAACGACGCGTATTTTAATCAAGAATACGTAGAAATCGCAAAAATATGCAAAAAGTTGATCCTTGACCCCGCAAAATGAGAGAAACCCCATAAAAATGGTCCAATCTTCAAACAGCCATAATTCCTACAATAGTGAATATATTTCAATGAAACTTTTTTCCGAAGTAGAGCTCATAGGTACCTACAAAAAAGTATTGGCCAACTTTTTTGTAGGGCGTCAAACAAAATTATTAAAAATCAAGAACGAATTTTTAAGAAAAGTAGGTGCCTAAATTTTTCGGCGAAATTGAAAAGTTTCAAATCACACTGAAAAAATTATTTTCGATTGCAGGGATGAATTACTATCATTTTTGGTCAATAGACACACCCCCGAAATCCTAACCATTTTCGAGAAAAAAATTTCTTACCGAAAATATAATTTCAGGCCAGAAATGTCACTCTAAAATTTTCATGCGTATCTTCAAAACGTTATAACTTCTGAACGGATTGAAGGATTTTAATGTTTGAAAAAGCAAACTACGCGCATTTTGGTGGAGAATATGTACAAATCGCAAAAATATGCAAAAAGTTGATCCTTGACCCCGCAAAATGAGAGAAACCCCATAAAAATGGTCCAATCTTCAAACAGCCATAATTCCTACAATAGTGAATATATTTCAATGAAACTTTTTTCCGAAGTAGAGCTCATAGGTACCTACAAAAAAGTATTGGCCAACTTTTTTGTAGGGCGTCAAACAAAATTATTAAAAATGAAAAACGAATTTTTAAGAAAAATCGACAGGGCGTAAGTGCCTAAATTTTTCAGCGAAAAAAAAAAATTTCAAATCGTTCTAAAAAAATTATTTTCAGTTGCGGGAGTCAATTTCAATCATTTTTGGTCAATATATATACCCCCGAAATCCTACGCACTTTTGAGAAAAAAATTCGAGAATGTGTGAAATTTTTCAACAAAATTAAAAAATTTAAAACCATTCTGAAAAAATTATTTTCGGTTGCAGGGGTCGATTACAATCATTTTTGGTCATTACACATTCCCCCGAAATCTTGGGCATTTCGGAGAAAAAAAATTCAGTACGGGCGGAACTTTAAACGTTAATAATTTCTTAACGAAGCCTCCATCAACAAATTGGTATTCTTGTATTTTTCCCGATTTTGTCCTCTAGAAGTAGTGCAAGCCTACAGTGCTTCATTAAAATCAAAGTTAGAACGTCTACTACCATAATGGATGTGCGCGCAAGATGTAAATCATCAAAATCTGCAAAACTGTAGGAGGCAATTTTAAAAAATCGCATACCAGTGGATTTGGAATAAAATGCTCGTCATTTTTTGTCATTATGAAAATTTCAATAAAATGAAAAAATTAAGTTAATAAATTTTTTTTAGTTATAAAAAAATTGTATTTTTTTAAATTTTTTAACACCATGTTATTGTACATAAGAAACCATCAACCTCGCCCATTAACAATTTTTTTGTATGTCTTTCCGTTTTCGAGATAGCCGTTTCGAGCCAAAACTTCAAGGGGTGGTTTCACCCCTTAAACTCGAGTTACCGCAGCTAAAAAAAAATACGTGTCGACTATTTTTGGCTGCTTTATAAGTGTACAAAGTTTCATCAAAATCGAAGCCGGACCGTTCGCGATGGTTCCTTGTTAGAAGCTTGGATTTTCCATCACGAAAACGACGAAAGAAAATATATTTATTAAAAGGTATAACACTGGTAGCAATGCGTGGTTTAAAGGTATAAAAGTATAGAATCAACTTTATTATATACTAGAACACAAGTGCGCAGAGCCACATAACCGCAAGCGGCGCGCGCATCGGAAGCCCCGCAGACCAGCATGCATTGCCAGCGTCTCAACAATATTCGACTGTGTTTTCTAAATTAACCTTTCAGGAAGAAATAAGGCCCAATTAATAATCACTTTTTTCCCCATTTTTGCCCATATATTTAAACTAAGTTGTTTCTAGGGCCTTGAGAAAATTTTACTGAAAAATACAAAAGATACAAAAATTCTAATTCTCATGAAGCATTTGAAGAAAAAAACATTACTGTAGATTCAAAAGAAATTTCCAGAAATTCTTGTCCTTGCTACTGATGATAGAATATAATTTTTTGAATATTTTAAAAATTTGACAACTTATAAAATAAGTATGTTTGGTAGTTTTTAATTAGTGTTGGTTTTTCGTACGATTAGCAACTAATGGGTTAAGATTATCTTTCTAGCGAAAGATGGTCGCGTACCTGCGACGAATAATAATACCATAAATCACCGTACGCGAACCGGGATGCTTTCTCCTAAACAGGATTTTCCAAAGGATACGCGCATCCTGTCCAATTGTAGTCCCCATTTTCCGTTGTACGTGCAGTCGAGCAGCTGCTACTATTTAGGAAACCGGACGAGGAAGAGGATGCTAACGCATGAGAGAGGCGGGCGAGGGATACGACTCGTTTCGCTTTAATTTAACCACAACCCTATGAAAACGTACGCCAGTGGTGTACCCCGGTACACGTGGCACGGTATTTTCGGTTTCGAACAAAATTGGGGGAGCCATCTGTCCAGCACCGTGTAAAGTAGTATCTGTTTGTATCATTTTTTTCATTCTGACAGACGTGCACGTTCTCGACAGAACTCGACACCGCAGTTTTAGAAACGAGAAGGGACCCAACCCTTGTATCAATAACTGGCCATCCTTCTCCGCGTTTCATCAAACACTTTTTATCGCAAAATCAACATTAGGGGCAAAAATATGTTCGAGCATCAAAGTACCCTGCATAGATCTTATGGAAAATGGCGCCCCTGGTCAAATTAGCTGAACTTTTGATCCTCTGTATCTCGGGAAATGTTCAATTTACGAGCTTTGGGCCCATTGGAATTTTTCATGGAGATATTATGAACTACTTTGTATCAAAAGTTCAGCTAATTTAACCGGGGCCATTTTCCATGAGATCTGAGCGGGGCCATTTTTGCATAGAGTAGAACCTCGTTTATTCGAACGAAACACTATTGAATTTCAGATATACAGACTCACGCATATTCGGCCGTAGCAGTACTGCGATGTTACCGCCAGGTGGCGCAGCTTCTCGAGCGCTTTCTCGCGAGAGAATTGCATTATCGCGGTTATGTATGTCAGGACGATCGTCTGGTCATAAATTGCTCTTGCATTGTTTATATTTAGAAAAATAATAAATCCCATTAAGGAAAATAATTAACAGCAATAAATGTAATTAGTTTTTACGTATTCACCAGCTTTGAACATGCAAGTTCTTTTAAGCTCAAGGGGCAATTAAATTCATATATCATTCGAAGCTCAATTATTGTTATTGAAAGCCCGAAAATTATTCGAATGATCTAGAAACTCTATTATTGAACCATCTAGGTTATCTGAACTGCCTTGTCCCCCCAATGTGTTAGGGTAAACGAGGTTCCTAGAGTGCCTCTAATATCTAACTTTTTATAGAAAATGTGCAGAGGAGAGCCACGAAATGATCGAATGATAAAGCAGACGGCGGGTAGATTTCACAATATTCCCTGAAATATCGAGAGATCATCCGCGCGCGGGCAGCGAAATTACAGAAAAAGGATCGACGGTTCGCGAACTTCGCAAGTAGAAAGCAGATCCAGACGCGAAAAGGTCATAGATCTCGTTGGAAGTCAAGCTGCGAGCGGCGGAGCGGCTTTTCCCCGAAAGTGTTCGGGAGAAAGCGAGATCGTGGATCGCAGGACCGTGTATCCACGGTTCCGGGATCGATAAAACACGTGGAAGATCCATCGCGAAGACACCGCGGCTCGATATCTCGCAGACTTATCTCGAATTTCTATCCTGACACCGCCTTTACGTAGTTCGCGAGCATCGTTTATGCGTGGGAGGATCCGCGTGTCCTTCCTAGAGTTCCTTCGTCTTTGGTT